AACACGTTATCAGCTCCGGCACTTACAACATCCAACAACTGGAATAGCAAGTGGGGGAGCCAACAAGAGTAGTAACTGCAGCATCCAGCGGAAACAGCCAAGGATGCCCCACTGAGACCGTCCTGCCGGATCCCTGGCCGAGAGCCTTCCAGGCCGGGCAGAGCATCCTCTGCCCGGAGGCTCAGGCTTCTTTCCCACCAGCATTCTTGTACCACTCTGTCGGAATTGGTTTAGCTTCCAGCTGTCCTCACGGGTGTAAGATTTTTAACACCCTTAGCTGTTTGCTGTTCCCATGTCTCCTTGTTGCAAGGGACCAGCTGCCCTAGGACAGTTTTGGAGGACACTAGAGATAGACATGCTTGCACCTGAGACAAGTGAGCCCACCTCGCTCCCAGGGGCTGCTTTTAACTAGTACAAACAGCTCGTGACAATATAGCTTCTACCTAGCGACCCGCTTCCTCCTTCTATGCCCCAACTCCTGAAATTCCCCCCTCTCCCCCCGGGGACCAAGTCTTCAGAATAACACAGCTGAGCAGTTTTTACAAATTACAAAGACCTGGCTTGAGTGGACTTGGTTTTACAACCGTGGTGTCAAGCATGCTTCTTGTACAGTAGGTGTTTGACTAAAATGTCTGGGGATGAAAATGGCTGAATGGAAACTTTTAAAACCAGTTCCAACTTTTTTAACTCCTTGAGAAAATTTTCAACTTTTTTGTAATAATATCACATTAAAATCACTCTAGATTCTTAATATCATGGAGTATATCTGCAATCCCAGCACTTGGGAGGAAGACACAGGAAGGTACTGAATTCAAGACAAACTAGGGTGTAGTTGGGTTTTGTTTTGTTTTTTTTTACTCTTTGGGGGCCCACCACCCAGTTCCCAAATAAGTATAGGGAGACTTATTCTTACTTATGAATGTCTGGCTTACCTTGGTTTGTTTCTAGCCAGCTTTTCTAACTTAAATTATCTCATCTATCTTTAACTACATTTTGCCTCTGGGCTTTTACCTTTCTTTATTCTATATGTCTTTCTTTCCTTCTTACTCCATGGCTGGCTGGGTGGCTGAGTGGCTGGCCCCTGGCGCCCTCCTCTCCTCCTTTTCTTGCTCTTTCCTCTTCCCTAGATTTCTCCTCCTAGTTATTCTCTCTGCCTACCAGCCCCGCCTCTCCTTTCTCCTGCCTCACTACTGGCTGTTCAGCTCTTTATTAGACCAATCAGGTGTTTTAGACAAGCAAAGTAACACAGCTTCACAGAGTTAAATAAATGCAACATAAAAGACTTCAACACATCTTTGCATCATTAAACAAATGTTCCACAGTATAAATGTAACACATCTTCAACTAATATTCCACAACACTGGGACTATATGAGTTCCTGTCTCAAAACTGTATTCCAGAAGGTGCAGTAAAGGACTGCCAACATGACCACTCCACAATGTACAAAGGTTTTCTAGAGAACAGCCAGAGGCATCTGGAGAAGTCCAGAGCAGAGAGAGAAAGAAGTAGACTGGACATGGCCAGGGCTGGAGAGAGAGAGAGTGGGAGTGAGCACAGCTGGAGATTTACTTCAGAGGGAGTGAAATGAGAGTAGCCGTGGGCAGAGGGAGGACCTTGCCTTTTCGTTATCCAGAGAGGAAGTGGGTATCTGGAAGGAGGAAAGCCTGGGGAGGGGAGACGGGCTAGGATGCTAGTGTGGACTCCGAAATGTGTAACAGCTGCTTGTGATGCAGGCTGCCATCTGTACCTGCTGCCAGAGGTAAGGGAAATGACTCCTTTTGGTAAAGGTGGATTGACTTCACCAGTTCCTGAGGAATGCTGGCTTTTATCTAACTGCCAGACATCCTCAGTCCGGGTTGAACCCATTTCTGGATCTATGGACTGCCTTTTGGACTTTGGGGAATTGGAGTTTCCTTTGGACCTGACATAAACAAACAAATAATTTACTTCAGATTTTTATTATGCTATAATTGCTAAGGCGTAGAATTAAAGTTATCTCCTGTTTGTGTAACTGATCCACAGTAAATACGGTGTCATTATTATGTATCTGTTCATGATGCGACCGTGGCAACTAGAAAAACCAACTGTACTTTTCCACATAAAAAATTTACATTTGTGATAAACCTGGAAGTTAAAATACAAGGGACCAAATGATTGTGCTGTAGAATAGTTTGAAAATACAGTTTCATGTTGTTGACCATTTCATCATCAAAATACCTGACTACAACATTGCCATCTTCTTGAGAAGCCAGGCTTCCTTGAACTCCTTCAGCCACCTCTGTGGTTCTGTGGTAGCATTGGGATGCAAGTGCTTGGGAAATACCACTGGTAGTGAGTGCATAAAAAAAGAAAGAAAGAGAGAGAGAGAGAGAGAGAGAGAGAGAGAGAGAGAGAGAGAGAGAGAAAGAAAGAGAAAGAAAGAATGAAAGAAAGAAAAAGAAAGAAAGAAAGAAAGAAAGAAAGAAAGAAAGAAAGAAAGAAAGAAAGAAAGAAAGAAAGAAAGAAAGAAAGAAAGAAAAAGAGGAAAGAACATGACTGCTCCCAGGTATGGTGGAGGAGGAAGTTTATTGTTGGTAAAAGGGAGAGCATAGTCAGAGGCAGGGACATCTAGGAGAGACATCCAGAGTGGACATGACCTTGACCCATGGAAGGAGGGAAGGAGGGGAGAGGAGCTTCTGACCAAGAAGGGCAGCCTGGGCCAAGAGACTGGCATAGCCAAAATGACTGGACTGTGTGGTGGCAGCTGGGGGAAGGGCAGTACAGCCCTTGGGCTGGAGAAGTTTGGGGTGGAAGGCGGGGCACAGCAAAGAGGGCCATGTAACAGGTAGAGGCTGAGGGGTGCAGGGAGAACCTGGGGGCCAGTGTCCACTTTGATATGTTAGTGGGCACCTCAGTTGGCCATTTGTCCGGGTGGCCTGAGATTTTTGAGAAACACAAGGCGTTGATGGAGCTCGTCAAAGCCTGTCCACACCAAGGAGTGTCACTGACACCCAGTTTTGCTAACTCCCTGAGAAAAATGCAGACCTGCTTCTCAGAACCGCATTCTCACTGACTGTGTGTCAGCAAGAAGCTGATTTAACTGAATTAACACACACAGCTTCCAGGTTGCACAGCATGGGGACAGCGTGGGGGTCAGTTCTTACTGACCTGCCCAAATACCAGTGAGGGTGAGAACTGAGACTCATTCTGTTTATTTTACAACGACATGAGCACGTGCCTGTGTGACTCTGAAATTATACAAGCTGTATTTTTATGCTTTCTCTTTGGGCTTTTTAGTAAGCAGAGGAACATGAAGAAGTAGTTAGCGTGTTTAGTGTGCCGGACTGCCCACTAGAAATGAAAGCAAGATAGACATCCGGGTTCTTTGCGGCTGTTGTGGTGGTTACCGTGTGCATCTGGCTTTAATGGGAGCTATGGTAAAGCCTGGGACGACTGTCACACCTTTTTATAAGCACTGGTGCAGAGTTCAGTCATACAAATGACAAATTTATGATGTATGTGTCATAAATATAACCTGAGTTAAATAGGCCTGATGAGACAGTATCGTCTGACAGGCTGATTGGTTTAAAATGATATTTTCTTTGGCTGTGTAAACCGTGGGCGTTGGACCTGTGATGAACATTAGCCTAAAAATGGAAAACATATGAAATTCTAGAAGAACTAATAAAAAACCGAGGTTTCGTGGGGAGCATGTGGGGTTGGGCCTGTGGCTCCATTGGTAGAGTGCTTGCCTGGCTGTGTAAAACCCTGTGTTCGCCGGGCGGTGGTGGCGCATGCCTTTAATCTCAGCACTTGGGAGGCAGAGGCAGGCGGATCTCTGTGAGTTCGAGGCCAGCCTGGTCTCCAAAGCGAGTTCCAGGAAAGGTGCAAAGCTACACAGAGAAACCCTGTCTCGAAAAAACCAAAAAAAAAAAAAAAAAAAAAACCCTGTGTTCAATCTTCCACACCACATAAACCAGGTGAGCCCAGCCCGGGCTACATGAGCTGTCTCCAAACAATAACAATACAAAAAAATAAGACAGAGGCTGCCTTCCAGTTCTAGTATTAGAGATGAGACAAATATGTTCTCCTTATTAAATCCAAGCCTACAAAGCTATCATAATTCAGACCGTTGGCTGGACTCTTGGGTCCTTTCCACAGCCGTGAGATGAATGCTAGCCCCAATCAGCTCCATGCTGCCTCTCTTCTACCTGCCATTCCCATCCCAGCATTCCAAGCTGCGAACCTTAAACTTGACCCATCATGGCACCATGATGAACCAGCAGCTATGGCTAAAAAAAGGTTCATGATTAGTATAAATAAGCCGTAGACAGTGTTTCTTCCAAGTCCAAGAGCTCTGCCCAAAGCAGAGGACTGTGCAAACTTCTATAGGAAGAAATTGCCAAGAAGAGGAGGAAAGGGTCCCACCACACACCATCCCTGGAGAACTTCAAGACGTTTAGTTGGAGTTGAAGTCATGCTCCATGTCTCCACATTGTCAGTGTTTGTTCATCAGAAAGGAAAGAAATTTCTAAGTTCTGCTTCTAAAAGGAGAGCTTATAAACAAGAGCTCAGAGCTTGTGGGAGTCTACCGTTTTCAATTTTCTATACTTTTTAAAAAAATTTGTATGTGTCTGAGTGTTTTGTCTATGTGTATATATGTGTATCACATGTATGCAGTGCCCACAAGAAGGTATCAGAATCCCTGGAGCTGGAGTTACAGACAGTTGTGAGAGCTGAGAACCAAACCAGGGTCCTTTGCAAGAACAGTCAGTTCTCTTAACTGCTGGGCCATCTCTCAGCCCGGCTATTGTACTTTTTAGTTTTTGCATGTAAACATGATTTGGGGGGAAACATCCCCTTAAGGAACTTGGCAGGGAGTTGTCACAGTCATGGAATTAGTGCTCAAGAATTGTGTCTTATAAATTCCACTGCAAGCAGTCTTTGGGCAGCACATTCCCCGAGGGATGCGATGACAGTCTTCATAATCTCTCCCGGCTCCGCCCTTCCTCTTTGATCAGGATGTACTGATGGAGCTGCTGGAGCAGTGTGCAGATGGACTTTGGAAGGCCGAGCGCTACGAGCTGATCGCTGACATCTATAAGCTTATCATCCCCATCTATGAGAAGCGGCGGGATTTCGAGGTATCTCACTATCTCTTCTGTTTGACATGCCCCAGACCTCATGCAGAGAAAGCCAGCAGGCCTTGACCCAGTGATGCCTGGTGGTCTCTGATTCCCCGCATTACATCAAAGGTCACCATCTACAGATTATCAAATGTACCCATCCCAGGCCCCATCTATGCAGACACCCCCATGTTTTGAACTGCAAGGGTCCCGTCCCACCGCTGAACTCTGGAAGAGTTCCCTAAACAGCGTTGTCTGACTTCCAGGAGCTCTTTCCTCAAAACCCTTCCTTGCTTCTCCTGCATGGGGGAACAGTGGCCCTTCCACCTTCCAGGGTTCCGAAGTTGGCCATTGCCCCAGCAAATCAAATGCAGTTTGAAGAGCAGAGCCTGCATGACATCAGAGGATTTTCTCCACCATCTCATGTCACTTTGGAAATAGACCTACAATGGGTGCTCATAGCACCCGTTTTAGATAGAAAAGGCTGCAGTCCAGAAATCATCACTGTGAGTTATACAGTCAAATATATTCTTGGGACTGGAGCAATATAAGCCAGTCCGTAAAGTGCTTGCCTTAAAAGCCCTAGGACCTGAATTCAATACCCAGGACATATATAAAAAAGCCAGGTGTGGTGGTGACACATGCTTAGAATCCCAGGGCTGGAGAGACAGACAAGTGAATGCCTAGGGGTCACTGGCCACCCAGCATAGTCTGCTTGATGAGTTCTGAGCCAATGAGAGACCCTATCTTTAAAAACAAAAGGTGGACAAGGCCTGAAGAGCGCCACCTAAGCTTGTCCTCTGGCTTGTGCATGCATGCACACACACATGCACACCTCCTGCCTCTTCACACACACAAACATACAGTGACTTTTTTTCTACTCAAAGTTAAGGTATTTGCAGGTACATCATCACATTTATTGTTTTAAATTTTATTCTGCTACTTGCAAATAGGAAGACATGTGTTGTCTTCTGCTTTCCAGAGGCTCGCCCATCTGTACGACACGCTGCACCGGGCCTACAGCAAGGTGACGGAGGTCATGCACTCCGGCCGCAGGCTCCTGGGGACCTACTTCCGGGTGGCCTTCTTCGGACAGGTGAGCCTCCAGGCCACTCTGTAGGCTGGTCTGAGTCCTTTTATCTTCCTTCTATTAAGTGATGTCTTGGGGATTTTTCATTCTGTGAATGCTGATGTGACGAATTTGTCGTATGTAGTATGGTTCTTACCTTCCTCTGTAGTAAACTCTCTACTTTTCTTTCTTTCTTCCTGTCTTTCCTTTATTACTTTCTTAAGGCAGCGGTAAGTTCTTCCTCCGTAAGGCATTCTTAGTGTCATCTCCCATTCTTCCATGTGATTTTCAAGTTTCAAGTCTTGTATGTATACTGTCTAGTCATTTCAAACTCCAAAAGGAAAATTAACATTTTATTCCATTTACAGAAATCATCCGTTCCCTTACACATCAATATTGCATGTTTTAAACCAAAATTAAGACCTCCTTTGTGCCTGTGTGTCTCAGTCTTTTAGATACTATCTGAGCAAGTATAGTTATCATTGTAATACTTGGGCAACCCTGTCAGAGGGGGGTTATTTAAACAAGTTTTAACCTTCAGGCTCTAACATTATTAAATGGAATAGATTATCATCCATTTATTTAGGGTGTGTGATTTTTCTCTGAGTGCTTTATAACCTTCAATTTATTCTGTTATTGTCTTTTATAACTTTATAGCAATACCAGTTTACAGACAGTGAAACAGATGTGGAGGTAATTCCAGTAAATGCTTCTAAAGCAAGTAACGTTAGTAAAGTGACTGCCTCTAAGCTCCCAGTTTGATGTGGATTTCTCATTTGTTTGTCTCATGTTAGCCTGTTTTTTTTCCCACATATATTGTTTTTTATACCATTTTATCTCCTCTTACTTTAGATAAGAAACTTTTTGAACATTAATTTCCAATATTAACCCCCAATCTGGACATTTTAATGTTCAACCTTTTTCACTTCCCATACAAGTTTAAACCTGTGGGCACATGTGATTGGTGCTACGCCAGTCTCAGCTGGTTTCCATGGAAGCATTTCCTAATGCTGTGCCATTGACCTTCAGTGTTTTTCTCAGCAGTAAAGCATAGCCGAATTCGCTCAAACTTTGTCCTTGTTGCTTGACCTACTCCGGACCTGACGTATGACTGGCTCGTCATGCTGGTCTTGTCTCCATGTGTCCTACCTCCTGGGAATGTGAAACAGGCTTGACTCCCATTACACTTCACGGAGAGAGTGTGTCTCAGACCCCAGCTCTTTCATTTCACACACTTAATGACTTGCATAAATTTGTACTTTTGTGTTTTCCTCTGTCTTTGCACCTTGACTCCACGTTAGAACCCTTTCCTTCCTAGTTGAATGGCCTGTTTCAGTGGGGTTTATTTTGGAATCATTTTTTTCCCATTGCTTTTGGTGGTTGTTCCTGTTTTCACAGTTATACTCAGCCTTGGGCACACGCAGGGCACCTCTAATTGTGCTGTTGCTCATAGGGTTTCTTTGAAGATGAGGACGGGAAGGAATATATCTACAAAGAACCAAAACTCACGCCTCTGTCGGAAATTTCTCAGAGACTCCTTAAGCTTTACTCAGATAAATTTGGTTCTGAAAATGTCAAAATGATACAGGATTCTGGCAAGGTATGACTACTGTCTGATAAGTGTCCTAGCAATTTTAAATTTTGTGTGATTGGCTATAGAGTGTGTACTCACAAATGTGAAAAGCGAAGTGGGGATAAGGAGGGTTGTCCTTGAGTGGCAGACGTGTTTTCTTCCCCTTGTAACTGCCTTCTGTGCTTTTCATGACGTGCTTACAATTGCGGAACTCTTCATTGCGTTGGTGAAGTATCTTCAGTTAGCTGGGATGGGGGCACATGGCTGTATTCTCAGAACTCTGGAGTCTGAGGCAGGAGGATGGCAACTTACACACCAGCCTAAGCTAAGTAGTGAGACCTTGTCTCAAAAAAAAAACAACCCCAGAAACAAAAGTGTCCTCTTTTACCGCATAATTGACTTCTGCCCCAGGTGGCTCCAGGGTTCTGACCCTCACTGCACCCCTGGTGGCTGAAGCTCAGACATCACTGAGGAGTGAGACCTGTTTTCTTTAGAGTAGCTCTCCTCTTGATTCTCATTAGGACCCTTCCCAAGCCTACACAGTTGTCCTGAGTGTTTGTGTATCCCACCCTGTTCAGAAGATGTTCGGGAAGCTGGGTGTCCCCCCCACTTCCCAAAGTGTCACTTGTTCTTCACATTTTAAAGATGTTCTGGTTTTAACTAAAGGGTGGAGTAGGGGGCTCTGCTGCCAGATGTGACAGATGTGATAGCCGCCTGGACTCTCAGCAGTGGGGAGGCTTAGATAGGAAGGATGGGTTCAAGGCCAGCCGATCTACATAAGCAGACCCTCCCTATCTTTAAAAAACAAAAACAACCCCAGCACTCGGGAGGCAGAGACAGGCAGATCTCTGTGAGTTCGAGGCCAGCCTGGTCTGCAGAATGAGTTCCAGGACAGCCTGGGCTACACACAGAGAACACCTGCCTCAATAAAACAAACAAACAAACAAACAAACAGAGAAACAAAATACAATGTGTGCTTCATCTCCCCAGCATTGAAAAGCCCCGCTTCTTTCTCAGGACGCCAGTTTGAAGAAGTCTGTAACCCTTTTTATTCCTGAGTCCTCTGCGGAAGTGCCCGGAGTCTAACATCTGCTCCCTGAGAGCCCTCATTCCCTTTATTCTCGTGCTCAAATGATCAAGAAGCTATCAAAGGACGGGGAAGCAGCAGGGACTAGCTGACTTCAGCTGGACCTGGCCGAGGCAGAGGACATTCCCTCCTGTGTCTGCAGCCTCCCGGCCTCCTCACTCCTCTGTAGGCTGACCCTGCTTGGGCTGCTCTAGTAGACTATGGGATGTTTCCAGGCCTGTTTCTCTGGAGGTTGATCCTCTGTTATAGCGAAAGGACCAGAGAAGAGAACTCGGTTTGCAGCCACAGGGCTTGGGACCACGTGCTCTGCTGTTCTCCTCTCAAACCTAGGCTCCCAAGTTGGTCCTCTGTGGGCTTCTCTGGGATGTGCTGATTTCTGTTACCTCACCTGTGGAGTCCTGGGTTAGCACACCACCAAGACCAGGGACACACCTCCACCAGCCAATCTTCAGAGCCTCACTGGAACCTCTCACCTGCTCCTGTCTCCTCCTGAGCCCCTGTGGTTTAATACTTGGTGTCATTTTAAGCAAGTTACCTAAGGGGAAGGAGGCAGTGTGTTTTACTAGAAGCTGCAGAAAGATGTGAATACCCACCTTCCGAACAGATCAAGCTGCTTGCCCAGATGGGCTTCTTCTGGGAACAGCCCTGTATATGCAGAAGCAGCTTCCACATTCAGCCTCTCCTCAGGGCTTCCAGTTCTTCTCCTTCCCCATTTACAGTGTGGCCCCATGGAGCCACTGAGTTAGAGAACCCTCCTCCTGGATCAGTGTCCTGTTCCTGCTGCCTGTCCATCCTTCCTGCCTTTGAATTGGTTTCGCTAAAGAAAGTCGGCTTTAACTGATTCAAATGCAATTATATGATTGTCAGGCCAGGGAGAGGCTCAGTGGGTGGAGGAGCTTCCCCACAGGCTTCTACAAGGTGGCTGGAGAGACCCAACTCCTGGGAGTTGTTTCTCGACCTCTACATGTGCCCCTGCAGACACACACGCAGACACACACATGTGCAAACAAATGCCTAAGAAGTACAGTTATGATTGTCCAAGTGGCTTTTTCCAAATCCAGGTAAGTTCTGTGGATTTGGGGGGTTTTGTTTGTTTGTTTTGTTTTGTTTTTTACCTTCTATACTAGGCACTAACCTTTTCTACCTTCTTTAAGCGCCTCTGCAGAACCATGAACCCATCTTTGCTTGCCCCAAGCACTCTGCAAGCCATTTCTTCTGTGGTCATTTTATTGCTCGACATTAAATACAATTAGAATGTGCAAAATTGATTTGCCTCACCAATGTAAATCAGCTTTGTCTCCCCGTGGAACATGCCTGTTTAATTTTCCATCCCGTGTCAGACACCAGAGGACCACCAGTTCACAGTTTGGTTGCAAAAGCATTCATGTGCTGGGTTAAGCAGAAAGGAAACTTAGGGCCTAATTGTAAATTAGGTTAATCTGCACTTGTATTAAATGAATTCATCTGTTGGCATCTCGTTTGATCTGACGACTGATTAATAATATTTTAGGGCCTGACATTTGATCCTTATTCTCAAAATAAACTTCTTTTCTAGCCACGTACACAAAAGTAGTTTTAAAACAAAAACAAAAACAAAAAAAATTAAAATGGAGAAATCCAGACTAAGGCAGGAAGGGGGTGGACCCGAACAAGTTTCTTCAAAGAACTCAGTGTCATGGAAAAGACGTAATGAGGAATTCTAGATTAATCAAGAGCGAAGAGACAAGCTTGGTGGTGGGGTACTTCCTCTATAGTCCTGTCACTTACAAAGCAGACACAGGAGGATCATGGGTTCAAAGCCATACTGGGCTACATGAAACTCTTCCGGAAGGAGAGGAGGGCTGAAGGAAGGAGAGAGGGAGTGAGGGACAGACAAACAGACACTTAAATATGAAGTGTGATGGTTGTTAGACTCTGTCAGTCTGGATGCTTTTGAGGGAATTAGATGCCTTGAATAGAACTGTTATTAAGTACCGTAGTACATTGTGTTTATAGAGGAAAATGTTCTCATTTTTAGGAAAAACTAGGTGGTGTGTCGTGATGTATACTGTTTACTTAGAAATATGCATGTGGCGATGTGTGTATACATGTATGGGTGTGTATTTATAAAAGTCTGATAGAAAGGTATATTGACACATGGGTGAAGATGTTGGGGAAACCCACGACTGTTGTGTATGATAACCTGAAAAAACAATTTAAAAACTGTCTCCACACATTTGTGTGTGCATATTTACATATATGTGTATACATATCTTCTTGAAACAAATACAGCAAGATGGTAGCAGTGATGATCTTGGCGGTAGGTATGTAGGTGTTCTTTTACAATTTTTTCCAGCCTTCCTAAACTTTTTCTCAATGTTTTCTAATTAAAAGTTTAGAAAATCTGTCTCAGACTGGGAAGAGCCCCAGGAGAGTGCCTGACTTCAGTGTTGTTTATTGGTTTAAAGGTTAACCCGAAGGACCTGGATTCCAAGTTTGCTTACATCCAGGTGACCCATGTGACCCCGTTCTTTGATGAGAAGGAGTTACAAGAGAGGAAAACGGAGTTTGAGAGATGTCACAATATCCGGCGCTTCATGTTTGAGATGCCTTTCACCCAGACCGGAAAGCGGCAGGGCGGCGTGGAGGAGCAGTGCAAGCGGCTGACCATCCTGACAGGTATGCCTTCCTCCCGCCAGGCGGAGTGCGCCTCTCAATAGAGGAAGGCACCACCGGGAGATGGCTCGGTGGTTAACAGCGCTTTCTGTTCTTCCCCAAGGCCTGGGTTCCATTCCCAGCGTTCACATGGTGACTTACAAACATCTGTAATACCAGTCCCAAGGGACCAAGGGGATTTGACACCCACTTCTGGCTTTCTTGGGCACCAGGCATGCATGAAGGTGTATTGGTGAAATTATTAAGGCCACTCCACGTAGTTAAAAGGAGATTTATTTAATGGTGTAACTTACAAATTAAGGGATAGGTAGGTTGCCGGATCTGGGGAAGGTGTATCACAGTCCAGCGGTGTTCTCTGGAGCTCTGCTTGGTCTACCTCCACTATCCAGGGTCCCAGAACGGAGAGCCCCGCCGATCCAGATCTCGGGTCCCCAGGCACCTCCCTTGGCCCCGCCTTGTAGGCGTGACAGTTGCCGAAGTCTCAATGGGGGTTGGAGCTTCCAGATCAAAGCTGGAATGGCTACCCACTACATCTCCCCCTTTTTGTCTAAATAAGAAAGTTCTAACCTAATACAAGACTATATACAAAGGAATGGTTATCAAATATTGTCCAGGAATAATGAGGGATAATGACCTAGATAAGATGGAACTACAACCAATGCAAACAATATCAAGCAAGAAACACATACTAAAATCCAGAGAAGTATAGAGCATAGGTAAATGGCATGTTACAAAGATCATTCCAAAAGGTGTCCTATCCTAAAGAACCTGAATCTAATATTTAATATGTTCTATCTACTAAGTTGTAACTATAACTGCTAGTCTTCAATCCCATCAAAGACCTGAGAAGGAATATAATGGTACCTGAGAAATGGTAGATGGATGCAAGCAACTTTCGGGAACCTTGCGAGAGTAGACTGAGACAGCTGGCAGCCTGGACAGTCACCTAATGTTTCTCAGCATTGTTGGTGCATTTAAATTGGCTACAGGCCTAAAGTATCTGACAGACCATTTTCAGAAGCAGGAATTCTGAAAGACCATCTTACCCTGTCTTGGCAGAGTACAGTGGTCGCTTTCCTTGTGTCCCGCTTGTCCAGAAAGGATAGCATTGCATTTGTACTGTCAGCCGTCGAGGCAAGGGCAGTTCTTTGCCCAGTAGGCCATTTTGTGCCAAGAAGACAAACTTCCAAATGGAAATGTCTTAGAAGCCCAACATTTTCTCGGGATCAAATTGGTGCAGCCAGGAGCAATTGTGTCTCACATCAACAGAATTTTAAGTTATTTAAATGCCATATTCTCTAGGTCTATGAAGTGTTTGAAGATTACCTGTCCATCTGACCTATGTATCTGTAAATCTGGATAACCTAACTAATGTAACTATAGAGATGACAAGCATAGGTGACTATAAATCTATAAGTCTTATCTACTGAAATAACCTAAGGACTAAGGCTTCACGTAAACAAGGTAAACAGTCTATAAGCAAGTGTATGGTAAAGAACGATGACTTCAAAATTGTGACAATACACAAGATGTTATAACAGAGGTAGGAGTATATAGTGCGATATGCAATATGACAATAATCTTAAATATATATCAATATTTATAACAGAGGTAGGAGTATGTAGTGTGATACGCAATATGACAATAATCTTAAATATATATCAATATACCAAATATCCTAAACAGAAGTAGAACATACATAAAGTATGACAGATATAAATTTATATTGTATCAATATACAAATATTTCAAATAAGAGTAGAAATATGTACATTATAACAAATATAGTTCTGTATTTGTATCAATATACAAATTATCTTAAACAGGAATATAAAAATAGTTTACATTTGTATCAACATATAAGAATCCATAACAGTGCAAATTACAGTGCAAATTATTTAAGGCTGCTATTTTACTAAATTTGTTTACTAGTATACATAATAATCTACCATAATATCTTATACCTATCCATTCCATTTCTTCTTTTCCCTTTTCTCTCTCTCCAGCAACAAAGGTGCACAGACATGCATGCAGACAAAAGACCCATAACACATAAAAATAAATAAATCCTAAAAAATAATAAGTAAGCCCAGGGTATGGGGCCAGAGAAATGGCTGAGCAGTTAAGAGTGCTTACTGCTCTTCCCTAAGGCCCAGTTCCCAGCACCCACAGCAGCCCACCAACAGTTGGCTGTAACTCCCTTCTGTAGGGTCTGACACCCTCTTCTGGCCTCCTCGGGCACAGACATGCTCATACACTCACCCATAGACACACGTACACACACATACACATGCACGCACACCAAGTAAAAATAAAATTAAAAATAAACTCAAGACAGCATAATATAGCAGATTTTTTTAATAGTTTCTGTGAGAGAAATGAGATAAGGGTTGTAGAACACAAAAGCGTACGTGTATAAAATTTCCCCACTCCTCCTTTTAGGAAAATATGGACTACATAATCCACATTGCCCCCACAACCATGAGCTCCCTCTCTCTTAGCAAACTTGTGGTTTTTCTAACGCACACCTGAGTGGCAGATTCTTACCAAGGAGGAAAACTGTTTCTAGATGGCAGATCTTCTCGTGGTTACCAGTTTCAGTCTAATCTCCACACTGATAACAACCTCACTGTGGAGTTCTTAAATCAGCATCTATCGGAGTTCTTTCTCGAGCCACCAAGGTCAGCCACCTCTGGGAATTTGAGCTGCAGACTCCCAGGCTCTACCCACCCCACACCCCTGAAATCTGCTGAATAAGAAACTAGGGAGGGCACCCAAGCCCTGTGCCCAGCAAGCACTCCGGGAGATTCTGACACATACTCAGAGCTCACTGCTGAGCTGGATGTTTATTTTTATCGTGAATCTTTGTCGAGGTGGTGTACTGATTGGATTCATAACAAGGTGTTCTCCCTGGGCACATATTCTTCCGGGTTACAGTTCACATTTGTTACAGAACCGTTTTAGATTAGATAAAGAATGTGGGCTTAGCTCTCTATCACCAAATCAGAGGGCAAAGAGTGACTGGCTGCAGGGCCAGGCACAGCAGACACGGGCCCTGGTGGTTCTGAGAACAGCCACTCACCACACCTTTAGGGCTGAGAAAACAGGTGCCTGGCCTGGGGCTCCTGCAAACCCCGCCACCCACGTTCCCTGTGTGAACGTGGGGAGATGGACAAACCTCCCTGTGCCTTCGTCTCCTCGTGAGAAATCCTGTAAAGTATAAACAGGAGGGAAAGAGTGTGTTTGGGTGGCCGGATCTCACCTGCCATCGGACTCTTTATCTTAGGCTTGATGATGAGCAAAAGGGACCACAGTGTGACAGAGCACACCAAAACCAGGTGCACAGCTTGCCGTGAGAGACCGGAAAGTGTGGGAGGGATTGGAACCAGACAGAGTAAGGCACTGAAAGTGTGTAAGTGCACGGCGACCTTTAAAGAAACACTGCGCTTTCAGAGCTGTTGGGCTGGAGTTTCCCTCCAGCTGGTAGCTCCTGCTCCCTGCCCTATCACTGCAAACCTGACCTTCGGCCTTGCAAGGGGTAGAGGAGCCCTGGCCTTCCCTGCTTCTGTGATTGAACCATCTGAGAAAACCGCACAGCTGCCCCGCCCCCAGCTTCCTGGGTGGAAGTTTCTGGACCTGCCTTTCCTTTCCTCCCAGTTACTGTTCCCAGATCCCCAGCTCTCATCCCCCACTCCACTCAGATTGGAGACATCTGCTGCCCACCTTCTGTTCACCCTACCGTACAGTTGATACATGCGTTCTGTCTTCCTGAAGGGCCACACGTCAGGGCACTGGGCCATGTATAATTACTACATGTGGCTTGTTCCAGTGCATACCTGATTTTCCACCTTCTGGGGCCACTTTGTTCTCTCATGTAGTCCTTGGGACAGTAATGCAAGCTTCAGTGAGGCATGTTCCCCAAAATGAGGTCTGTGGCCTTGTGCCACTCACATCTCAGCAAGAGAAGACAACAGTGAGCATGGGTGTTGGGGCATGCCACACATGCTGATGATGCCAAGGAGGTTGGGAATGTGGGGCTTGGGGGAGAGGGAGGATGAGGTAAGGCTCATTGAGAATGTGACATTTGAGTCAAGACATGAAGGAGATGAGGGGTGGCCAGAATGTCTGTGTCTGGCCTGGTGTGGCTACAGCCGGGTTGTCTGAGGCAGAGGAGATGGGGTGAAACTAGCAAGAATATCAGGGCACTGCCACCTGTGGGGCCTGGCACAGACCTGGAGCTTTCTCTGAGTAGTACCGCTGTGCCTGCCTGTGAAGTCTAGTTCCCATCTAAGAAGCGATAGTTGGTCAGGACTTAACCCTGAGTAGGACCAGTGTGAGTCATGGGCACCTCACACACCACCCTTGGAGTTGGCTTTCTCTCTGAAGTAATAGTGCCACCTCACCGTGACTGTCCCAGATGCTGGGACACTCCATGAGTTGTGATGCATTTTCCTTACAGCTGAGAGTGGAATTCCTTTGTGTGGTGCACCAGTCAAATACCAGGGTAGCTGTGGTCAGAACACCCCTTCCCTGCAGAATGTGGCAACGCTCAGTTCTTAGTTAAAGCAGCCTCTGTGCAAAGAGGACTGAGCAGCCCTGCTGTCGCTGCTCAAAAGCTGCTGCGTCCACAAGGACACAAAAGGAATTCCAGATAGGATCCCCAGACTAACCAAAAAATTCTGAAAATAGAATGTGACCATGGGGAACACCTCTGTTTCCTGCTTTGTCCAGTCGCTGATGGCCCCATCTGATTAAACTGTCCCTAGTCATTTACTAGAGAACTCAAACTTGACTTCTGTCATCTTTTGCTAGTTAAAAAATAAAATAACTCATTGCATGAGTTGGCTGTTTGAAACCTGGGGCCTATGCAGGATTGTTTGGCTTGGCCTGGGAGGAGGGTACTAGACCTACCTGGACTGAGTCTACCAGGTTGACCTCAGTCTGTGGGGAAGGCTTTACCCTGGAGGAGATGGGAATGGGGGGGGGCGTTGGGGGGAAGGTGAGGGGGACGGGAGGGGGGAGAACAAGGGAATCCGTGACTGATATGTAGAACTGAATTATATTGCAAAATAAATTAAAAAAAAATAAAAAAATAAAATAAAATAAGGGCCGGGCGGTGGTGGCGCTCACCTTTAATCCCAGCACTCGGGAGGCAGAGCCAGGCGGATCTCTGTGAGTTTGAGGCCAGCCTGGGCTACCAAGTGAGTTCCAGGAAAGGCGCAAAGCTACACAGAGAAACCCTGTCTCGAAAAACCAAATAAATAAATAAATAAATAAATAAATAAAAATAAAATAAGGGGGCCAGCCATGGTGGCATACGCCTTTGATCCCGGCACTCATGAGGCAAAGGACAGCTTCGTCTACGTTGTGAGTTCTAGGACAGCCAGGGCTAGGTGGTGAGAGCCTGTCACACAAAAACAAAAATCAAATAAGGGCCTGGAAGATAGTTCCACGAGAAGTGTTTGTGTGCAGGCTTGATGGCCTGAGTTAGACCCCTGGATCCCACAAGGTGGCAGGAGAGAACTGACTCTCAAGAGTTGTACCCTCCATATGTGCACAGAGGTCCATACATGCCGTGGTACAGGCACTTTCACTCACACACACAATTAAAAAGTAAACTTTGAAAGTCATGTGTAGCAAATGAAAATATTACAGGTGTGTAGCCAGATAAATCTTTCCTGCCTGCCAGTACCCGAATAACCAGTTAGAGGCTTAATTTTAATTGCAAACTGTTTGGTCTATGGCTCAGGCTTCTTGCTAGCTAGCTCTTTCATCTTAAATTAACCCATTTCTGTTAATCTATGTATTGCCACATGGCCATGGCGTTACCAGTCTACTGGCGTCTCCCTGGCTCCACCTTCCTTCTCCCTGTATCTTTGCTTGGGTTTTCCACCTGGTTATAACCTGTCTTGCCATAGGCCAAAGCAGCTTCTTTATTAACCAATGGTAGAAGCGCATAGTCACAGCATACAGAAAGACCATCCCACAGCACTGGCATTCCTGCAAGAAGATAGAAATGCTAAACACTTGAACTAGAGCCTAATATTTACACAAAAATTTTTTTAGATTTATTTATTTTGTTCTATATATATGAATACTTTGCCAGCTTGTGTACATGTGCACCATGTGCATGCCTGGTGTCTAGGGAGGTCAGAAGAGGGTGCCAGATCCCCTGGAACTGAAATTACAGGTGGTTGTGAGCTGCCATGTAGGTGCTGGGAACTGGAGCTTGGGTCACTTGCATGGTCAACAAGTGCTCTTATCACGGAGCCGTCTCTCCAGCCCCACAGTTTTTTTTCATTGCCCATTGTCGTGCTGTTTGGTGTTGAGATGGTCAGGTATTGTCTTTTAGTGGAAAACGTGAGAAATAGTAAATATTTTCGTATTTCTTACCACTGGTAGTTTCAGAACACCTTGACCATTGGCACAGTAGTTCTGTCATTTGTGGATTTCAGGTTTGTGAAATGCTTTGCTTGGGATGCTTTTGTTTGTTTTTCATTGATATCTTAGGTTTAGACAAATTTGTCATGTGACTCAAAGTTGTTCTCCGGAGATATACTATGAGTTCTCAGAGATATACTATGGCACTATTTTTGGGGGGCAGGGGGGACTTGAACTGCTGTATAATATCTCAAAACTGTTTAGTCTTTTTTTGTGTTTTAGAAGCCGTCTAGAACCTACTCATTTGAATCTCAGAACTTGCAAGGAGGGTTAGGATACTTATAGATTAAAAAAAAGTAAGCAAAGAGTAATAAAAGAGCTTTTTTTCAAAGACACACTTTACCTGTTAAAGGGATAGGAAGGAACCAACTCTGTTTACCTTATGATATGACCTGTCCTTACATCATTAAGGACTGGAGAGACGGCTCAGTGGTTAAGAGCACTGGCTGCTCTTGCAGAGGACCTGAGTTTGGTTCCCAGCACCCATATGGTAGCTCACAACACCTGTAACTCCAATTCCAGAGGATCTGATGCCTTCTTCTGGCCTCCGTGGGCAACACACACACACACACACACACACACACACACACACACACACACACCACTGAACAGATATACATGAAAGCAAAGCATTCGTGCATATAAAATTGAAATAAATAAAATCTTAAGCATACAGTATTAAAAAGGAAGAGAGTGTCCAAGCTCCAAAGAGAGTTAGCATGTGACATTGGCAGGTTCTGGGTTTCTCTTATCTTAGCTGTACAGTAGGCATGGTAATGACTGTCCCTCAGCATAGGAAAGACCATTCAGACTGTGGAGTAACCCAGCCCCGTTCCTCCGCAGCGATCCACTGCTTCCCCTACGTGAAGAAGCGGATTCCTGTCATGTACCAGCACCACACTGACCTGAACCCCATCGAGGTGGCCATTGACGAAATGAGCAAGAAGGTGGCCGAGCTCCGCCAGCTGTGCGCCTCGGCTGACGTGGACATGATCAAACTGCAGCTCAAGCTCCAGGGCAGCGTGAGCGTCCAGGTGAGCTGAAGAAACCCTGTGGGCAGAGGGATCCCCTCAGCTCCTAAGCTGCACTCCCTCACCCCAGCACGGCTTTCTTTACCTGCCTGGTGAGCCTAGTTCCCTGTGTCCGCGGTGTCTTGTCTCCCGTTATCAGAGGAAGGGGTAGGCTTAACTGCCCCCAGTCCTGCCTGCAGGATGGTGGCTTCACCGAGCTGTCTGCTAGAGACAGCTCTCTCGTCACACATACTGACTTTCCAGTGACTTGGAGGATGTCGGGTCCCTGGTTGACAGAACTCACCTCAAGCCCAAGAAAGACGTTAGTAGTAGGCTTTCGTAAAACTGTTGGTTTCTACTTCCCGTGAAAATCATGTCAGGAAAGTACCTCACGTTTCACTTTCTCCATGGTTTTTTGTTTTTTGTTTTTGGTTAACAAAAAAAGGTCTTCATTTTAGGGCAACCCAATCGAGTTATTACTGGTAACATGTTTTAAAAGTCATTTATTTTTGAGAATTTCATATATGAGTACTGTATTTACATCATCTCCCTCTCCAACCCTTCCCGTGCCCCCTCATTCTTCCTCAAATTCATGATCTCTAATGTCTAAATTATTACACACACACACACACACACACACACACACACACACGCACGCACGCACGCACGCGCGCGCACACACACACACACACACACACATGCACAGGCTGCTGAGTCCATTTAGTGTTGCCCGTGTGTACGTGTGTTTAGGCCTGACATGTTGAGATTGGATAGCCTGTCAGGGTCTTGTCCCTGGAAAAGACTGATTCTCCCTCTCTCAGGGGTCATCAGTTGCCTGCAGCTCTTCATCTAGGGGTGGGGCCTTGTGAGATTTCCCCATTTGTGCTGACCTGTCAGTGTGCCATTTTTCAGGTCTTGTTTTAGGCAATCATATTGTTGGGATTTTGACAGGGAAGTTTTGTTTTGTGGGGTTTTGTTGTTCTTTTACAGACATACATAGCACTTGTGGTGACCCCTGTAATCTCGGCACTTGAGAGGCTGAGGTGGCACAATCAGCTAAGGCTAACCTGGGCTACGTAGCCAGTGCTAGGCAAGCCTGGGCTTCATACCTAGCACAGGTCTTAACGTCTCAGCTGAAAGAAAGAAATCTGGTCCTCTGTAAGAGGTCCACTGTTCAATATCCACACTCAGACCCGCCGTCCAGCTGGACCTGTTCTGTATTTGGCAGAGGACAGGGCTGCAGACACTTTCTCCCCAGCAGGATTTGGTGGTGCATGCCTCTCATGCCAGCACAAGTGGCTGAGGCTCAGATACTTGCAGGGTCCCTGCTGTGACTTTGAGGCCAGCCTGTACTACGTGGTAAGACCCTGTCTCAAAAGAATAAAAACAAGGAAAAGGGCTATAGAGATCTACCTAGCATGCAAGGAGCCCTGGATTTGATCCCTTGCTGCATAAACTGGCCATGCAAGGCCATGCCTAATAATCCAGCACTCTGAAGGCCAAGGCAGGAGGATCAGAAATTCAAAGTTATCCTTAATTTCATAAGTTTAAAGCTGCTTTGGGCTACCTGAGACCCTGTCTCAAAAAAAAAAAATTACGTTTCCCCCCTTCTAAGTGTTGTGTGCTATTTATTGGGAGATCATCTTCGATCTAGATACTAGTTAATGCATACGTTGTTTGTGAAGATTTATCAAGCTCTATACTTAAGATGAATGTTCTTTTTTTTTTTTTTTAAGTTCTCTCAAATAGTTAGCTAGGTAACAGGCAGATTTTAAGTCAGCTCCCTGCAGTGACCAGCTTTATACGTACTTACGGAATCCAAACACTTGTCTCTTTGTTGTTTTCTGGTCCAAGTGTAGTGTGTCTACAAAGCCTATGCAGAAGTTCTACTGTGTAAGTTCTGTGTCCGCGACTATTTTCTGAAATCATTTTTTGTCTGTTTCATCAGATGCACATGTAAAGAATCATGAGTTTTGAGCAAATATTTTACCAAATGTCATTGACCACAGAAGTGTTTTTAAATATTTATAATCAGCTCCCTCATGTCCTAAAAAGTTGAAATACCAAAGTAGTTTAGAAAGGGAATATCAGCATTCCAGCAACATGACCGTACAGCAGGGCCAGATTTTCACATTTTCTGTAGCTAAAAATGTTACTCAATAACTTGACCTGGGAACGAGGACCCTCATCAAAAGGCCAGTGAAGGGATGGGGACTGACAGGTTGAACTGTCTAAAGGGTAAAGCCTTCAGTGCTGTTTGACAGTGACCTTCGAGTTTGTATGAAAATGGCCAACCATCTTACTCAGCAATGGACCCCATGATCAAATGAAGACATGGTGTTCCTGCTGGTGCCCACCTGGATAACAAAGTCGAGGTCAAATGAAGTTAGCTCTCATTTCCTTTGGGTGTTCCAGTAGCTGTGTGCCCCAGAGGCTTCCTGGGGCCATGGCTTCTCACCATCTTCCTGTAGTATGTCTCACATAGTATCAGCAGCTGTCTTCTTTTGTCTGTTTAAAATTGGGTGTCCTGTTACATATCAGACAGTCTTTGCGCTGTCTTCACATTAACTTCATTCTCACACAGCCTAATGCAGAGGCCACCACATTCAGTCACCACGGGAAAGCCAGCTGTCCATCGCTGAGGCCCCACGCTGACACTGGCTTCTGTGCCCCTCTCTCCCCATAGCCGCCGTGAAATCACCTGGCCCAGTTCTGAGACTGCTGCAGTCCCACACGTGAAGGGTCAGAGCTTCACGCTGACAGCTCTCCCCGCTTGCTCCCTAAGCCCATGTCCCAGGATCTAGCCTCTCTCTCCTCGTTCCTGTGTTGTGTGGTATCGCACAGAGAACTCTAGTTGGCTGTTGGAGCGTTGGCAGTACCCTGGGTCACTCACCGCACTGCAGAATGTTCCTAATCCACAGCTCAGCTAAGTCAGCAAGACCGTTGGCCAATGGCTGCCTGTACAATCCAATGATGATGTTTTATTTTAGCTTCAATGGCTGTAGGAGCCAGGAAGGTTACTCATCGGGAAAGTGCTTGCTGTACAAGCTGAGGTCAGATAGCCAGACCCACACCTGTAATCCCAGCTCTGAGGAGGCAGAGACAAGAAGGCCCCTGTCTCACTGTCTAGGAGACCTAGCCTAATCAGTGGGCTACAGGGTCAGTGAGAGAATCTGCCTCAAAGTAATAGTAGTAGTAGTAATAATAATAATAATAAGGAGAAGAAGAAGGAGGAGAAGGAGGAGGAGGAGGAGAAGAATGTAGAGAGGGATAGAGCTCTGATGCTGACCTCTGGTGCACACACACACACACACACACACACACACTCATACAAGAACACTTCTGTATGTTTTCAGTTCTCACTGAATTCACCAGGTTGACTTGTTCAGTACAATGTAGCACAAATTCCAGTGTCTAAAATCCTGTGTGAAAGAACTTTGACGTGAGTTTGGAGACCTGGGCTCTGGTATTTTGCATGTTGGTTGCTCAAACCTGAGCAAGTCTTTACATTCCCTCCACTGGTTCCTTCTCACATAAAATGAAGGATGGCATGCGTGATGGGATCAGACAGTGTACAGCATGTAACTCAGTTATGATTTTTTTCTTGGTCTTTATATATTAGAAGTCGGGGATCATGAGTGACTCAGTTAAACAGCACTCAGAGTGTATAGCAGTTGACAGAAGGAAATAGTCATGGTCATTTTTCTTCTAATCAAGCCTTTGTCCTTTCCCCAGGTCAACGCTGGTCCACTAGCATATGCCCGGGCCTTCCTCGATGACACCAACACAAAGAGATACCCTGACAACAAGGTGAAGCTGCTAAAGGAAGTTTTCAGGTAGAGTACACTGAAAGTTTCTCTTCACAGGAACCATTCATCCATCTGTGGTGCTCAGCGTTCCCACGGAAACCATTCATCCCTCTGTGGTGCTCAGCGTTCCCACAGAAACCATTCATCCCTCTGTGGTGCTCAGCTTTCCCACGGAAACCATTCATCCCTCTGTGGTGCTCAGCTTTCCCACGGAACTCATTCATCCCTCTGTGGTGCTCAGCGTTCCCACAGAAACCATTCATCCCTCTGTGGTGCTCAGCGTTCCCACAGAAACCATTCATCCCTCTGTGGTGCTCAGCTTTCCCATAGAAACCATTCATCCCTCTGTGGTGCTCAGCTTTCCCATAGAAACCATTCATCCCTCTGTGGTGCTCAGCTTTCCCATAGAAACCATTCATCCCTCTGTGGTGCTCAGCTTTCCCACGGAACTCATTCATCTCTCTGTGGTGCTCAGCTTTCCCACGGAACTCATTCATCCCTCTGTGGTGCTCAGCTTTCCCACGGAACTCATTCCTCTCTCTGTGATGGTCAGCTTTCTGTTACTATAACACAGCTGAGATGATTCACTCATAAACAGAAAAGGTTGGCTTGGGCTCACAGTGTTTGATGTTGTTTGGGGCCTGTGGTGAGGGGTGGGCAGTAAAGACACCATAGTAACCAGGAAGCCAAGGAGAGTGAGGCAGGGTCCCGAGTCCCACGACTCCCTTCATAGGCATGTCACCAACAGCCTAAAGACTTCCCACTGGGTACCACCTCCAAGAACTCCATCACCCACCAATAGCACTGTCTTGGGGAACCACACTTAACAGTGGACATTTAAGGGTGCTACAGAATGAAACCATAGCGCCGGCGGCTCTGGTTCAGGAGGGTACTTCTAGCCGGACCAATGTCCACCTTCTACCTGCCCTTATCCCCTCTCACCTCACTCAGGCAATTTGTGGAGGCTTGTGGTCAAGCCCTGGCGGTAAATGAACGTCTGATTAAAGAAGACCAGCTGGAGTACCAGGAGGAGATGAAGGCCAACTACAGGGAAATGGCCAAGGAACTCTCTGACATCATGCGTGAGCAGGTCAGTGCCAAGCTGGCTTGGGTACCTGGTGAGGGATGCATGTGTCGGGGTCTGAAATACTCCTAATAGTAAGTTAAGCCTCCCAGTATGCTGGGATTATAATTCCTAAAGAAAAATGTAACATACCATACCCCTGCTACACGAACCCCAGATTATTTCGAGAAACAAGCAATGAGTACCCCGCCATACGTCATCTACCACTGTCAGAGAGGGCAGCATTCTTCTCCATGTCTCCTAAACTTTGCGCTGCCTGCACCGAGGAAGGCAGGGAAAACACATTCGTGCTTTCAACTTCCCCTGATAGAACAGGGCTGACCAGCCTGGTGTTATTATCTGTTGCCTTAGAAGTCTTTTATCATTTTTTTAAAAAAAAGTGGGATTGTTCCAGCTGTCCTGGGCACCCCAGGAGATCACACATGGCTCCTTCCTCCATGATCCTTGTCTTCCCGAATCTCTTTGGTTGTCTGTCCTTCCCATGTGAATTCTCCATGTGGTCCCTGCATGTGTCAGGACAGACAGACACATCCAGCCAGGGTGTCAAGCAAATGTCCAAGGGCAATGTGCACATTAATCCAAGTCACTGTTCCCATCACATTAGCTCCTGGATCTCACCCTGTCTGTCTCCTGTGTTATTGTCTGTAGTCTTGCAGGATGGGAGCTTGGACTCCTTGTCACCTACCTTATCATATGATAACTGGAAAGTTCTATTTTTTGAGAATTTCATACATGATTACTATAGTTACACCTGTCCCCCAAATCTCAGTCTCTCTCTCTCTCTCTCTCTCTCTCTCTCTCTCTCTCTCTCTCTCTCTCACACACACACACACACACACACACACACACACACACACACACACACACACACACTTTCCCAAATTCATGGTCTCTTATTCTTTAATTATTATTGTTAAATACATACATATAAATTTGTAAATCCAAGCCGGGCGGTGGAGGCGCACGCCTTTAATCCCAGCACTCGGGAGGCAGAGCCAGGTGGATCTCTGTGAGTTCGAGGCCAGCTTGGGCTACCAAGTGAGTTCCAGGACAGGCGCAAAGCTACACAGAGAAACCCTGTCTCGAAAAACCAAAAAAAAAAAAAAAAAAAATTTGTAAATCCAACCTGCAGAGTCTATTTGGCGTTGCTTGTGTGTGTGTTTAGGGCTGACTTCTTGGGATTTGATAACCCATCGGGCTCATGCCTAGAGAAGATGGAGTCTCTATTTCTCAGCAGCAATTAACTGCCTGTAGCTCTCCGTCTAAGAGTAGGATCTTGTAGACATCCCCCACCCACCCCGACCCCACCCACCCCCATCCACATCAGAATGTCGGTTGGTGGTATCATTCCTCAGGTCTTGCTTAGGCAGCCACATTGTTGAGATTTGGGTGCAGCTTCCCTCTCATACACAGAAGACACCATCCTGCAGCAGAAACCCTCATCTTCTGGCGCTTACAATATTTCCAGCCCCTCTTCTGCAGTGCCTCCTGAGCCCTGGGTGTGGGGTTGTGTGGCAGAAGTATTAGTTAGGGCTGTGCGGTCTATACTGTGGAGAGCTGACTTGATCATTTGAGCTTTAATGTCCTTGTTGTTGTTTTTCCCTCCTCCATGCTGCACATGCTCAGATGGGATGGTAATACCATTTTTTAATTTTATTTTTCTGATAAGCTGTCTGATGTAAATTGAGTCACATAGGTTCTGACCGAGTTTGGGCAGCTGTGGACTTTGGATAGTGCATGTACAGTGGAAAGCAGTTCTCTTCCGAACATTTTTAAAAGTGGGGGGGTGGGGAGTGAAACAATTAAATTATTAATGTGTGAATAATTAAGCACAAAGGAGAGGGGACTCATGGGAACAAACTATTGGAGAAAACTTGTGATCTTTTCCTTGGAACCTCCAGATCCCTGGTGGATGGGCGCCAGCATTCAGGACCAGGAAGGACAGAAGTAGAGAGAATTGTGGGCTGAGTCGATTAAGCTCCTAGATTCAGCACATAGTAACTGCAGTGGCTTGCTATGTACTGCCCTTAATTTTCCCATTGTCTCAGCATCTGTGAAGATTAAACCCTTTTGAGCCCATGCGTAGGAAGAACTGTGACCTGGCATGGTGGCTTTGGTGTTCCAGAGGATACTCTGCATGGGTCTTCTGAGCCTCCACGAAGCTAGAGAGAAATCCTACACCCAGATCCTCTTCTGTTCTTATTTGCCATGAAGAGGCACTTAAGTCTATAAGACCTGAGAAAAGGAGACAGGAAAAAAACGCAGATAATCCAAATTCACTTACAGAGGTTTTTTTTTTCCCCAAGGGTCAAAACTAGTTCATGTCTCAATGGAGTTGGAAGGTAGACCACAAGTTACCTAAGATCTGGCGAGTCTAGAAGGCTCCTATTCCTTAACTTGTAAAGGAAACAAAGCACATTCTTTCTGACATTCTCCTTACAATCCCAATCTGAAGGTGGCCATTTATTAGATAAGCTAAAACTATCTATGCAAACTGGCAAAGCCCAGGCCTGGCTGTGTGCACCATCATGCAGAATGGCAGCTGGATGTGAGCTGTGTGTGTCACCTCAGCGCTGAGTGGCTGGCTGCCGGAGCATTGCACTTTGATTATCTTGTCTTTCTGTGCCTCAAGATTTGCCCCCTGGAGGAGAAGACAAGCGTCCTACCAAACTCTCTGCACATCTTCAACGCCATCAGTGGGACGCCCACGAGCACAGTGGTTCAAGGGCTGACCAGCTCATCCTCGGTTGTGTGATCTTACCTCATGAACCACGCGTAGGGACATGCTCTGTCATGTGCAAACTCAGGATGACCTCCAGAACTGATCACTGGTGTGGCCCAGCACAGGAGGAAGCCATGGGGAGCCGGGTCGAGAGGGAGCCTGGACTGTGGTATTTAGTAGCAGATTTATAGGAGTTGGGGGAAGGTGCACATATTTTTTAAATCTCACTGGCAATATTTAGTTTTCCTCATGTCTTAACAGGAGTATGTGGTGGACACTCTTAAGCTGTAGTTCAGTTTTATTCTTTTTACAGCATAGTATTAAATGACCTAAAGGAAAAAGGAAACTGTTGTAGGACATTTTTAGCAGACGCAACAAGCACTGAAACTGAGGCTGGGAACTAAGCTGGAAAAAATCTTGAAAATATTTTTTTCCTGTGGCACATTCAGGTTGAGTACAAGAACTATTTTTGTGTCTAGTTTTTGATGACTGAAGGGAATTGACTATTGTAACTTTTGTACTCGTGAACGAGGAGACACAGAGCCTTTATATTCATGCCTTGTGTTGAAAACATGAGAGCTTAAGAAGCTGTATGTGAGCCTAAGCCTAGTCGAGCCGCGTAGAACCAAAGGCCTGTACTAACAAACACTACGCTAAAACCTAAAACCCAGTGTACATACAGTTTGTTAATGCAGCCTCCTCGCTGTGTTCACATGCCTATCACATTTCTACGTTTTTAATACATCCACTTCCACGATGTTCTTTGTGAGCCCTGTGCTGTTCTCGGTATATGCAAGCACATTGGATTTTACGTGTTTTATTCTTGTACATAAGAAGTGCAATATGGAGATGTATACAGTCTTTGCTATATATTAGGTTTATAAATTGTTGAAAGAATTTTCATCCTTTTGCCAAAATGGTGGAGTATGTGATTGGTAAACCCTGAATCCTGTGGTGAGTTGGGATAATTTAAAATTTTCACCATGTTATATTTTCTTTGAAGACTTTAATTCAGTAATTTTATATTTGGAAAAATAAAGGATTTTAATTTAACTGGAATCACTGCCCTGCTGTAATTAAATATCCTGTACCCCAACTGTATTAAAAATAACATTGCTGATTTTCTGGTAATAAACACTGGATATTTGTTGTTTGGCAATCCTAAAAAAGGGAAGGGTGCTTAGGGGTAAAAAATAACATTATCAAAATTTTCTCTAAAATAAAAAAAGAGAGTGGATGGACACAATAAGGTGAATGGAGTGTTGGTAGTTGTTGAAGCTGTGGTTAAGTGTATGGAAATCTTAACACCACTTCTCTGCTTTCTGGAAGTTTCCATGATACAGATTTCAGAAGGTGGAGCTATGAGTTTATGCTTCCAGAGGACTTGGTGAATGCTAACGGGAGGCACTTGAGTCTGGGTTCCTCTCTTCAGCTATATCAAAGCTTTATCATCTCCCTGACTTGCTTCTGAGGTGAGCACTCTGGTATACACTCATCAGTCGTCTCTCCCAGAGATGCTCAGGCAACTGCGCTGGTACAACCCACCCTCATGCCCCACGCTGCCACGACACTGGGCAGAGTCATAAGGATGGGTCACATGGCAGGGGTGCTGGTCCTGCCTCTGGCCTGCCCAGTGGCCCAGAGAGTGAACCAGTTCATTGTCAGTACTGTGTAGTTGCCGCAAGGAAAAGGAACTTTCTACATGGGTTACAAGAGTGGGCTGTTTACTTGAAGGTTAGAGAGACTGTCTTTTCCATACCATTTAAGGAAAGACAGCTGTGGCGTGGCAGCCCTTGAACACCAGTAAGCAAGGAATACGTTGGGTCTAATGGCAGAGGGCATGGTGGTGCCCGGAGTCGCTGACATCCTCGCCCTGTGTAATGAGCCTCAACTCAGACATCATCACAGGTGGGTTTAAAGCTCTGTCGTGGAGTTGGATTTACTAGTCATAAACACCTCATTTAGGAGTCATAAAATTCAAGTTATCACATAGTAAGATAAATAAAAGTCTAGAAAGAGTCCTTGGAAGATAGATTAAGTTTGGAAGGTAGCCAGCCCTCACTATACAGCAGTAGAGAAACAGCCTTCTCTCTGATGGACATGCTAAAAAGATGGACACCCTAAGACAGCTGAGGAAAAGCCAGAGGCATGCAAGTGTGGAAAGGGAGTCACCTTCACTGAGTAAACAGAGGGGCAAGGGACAGTGGAATAAGGAGATTCCTGTTAGCTGATGGGATGTTTCATAGAGTTCATAGAAAATGTAAATTTCCATGTCAGACTATACCTTAGGACTGCTGAGATGCACAGAGAGTGCTGCTGGTACTGACCGTGTAAGTCTGCCCGTCTGAGCTCAGTTCCTCGGAACCCCTAGAAAGGTAAAAAGAGAACCAGCTCCACAAAGTTCTCCAACCTCCACACACATACGATGACACATATGCCCATACACACATCATATATACACATATAATATAGCAATTTTTTAAATTATAAATTAAAATAGTAGTTTGCTTGGAAAAACTATAGCTGGTTACCAGTAGATTTTTAGAGTTATTTTACATAGATTGTACATTGTAGCCGGAAGTTCCGCAGCCGCTTGGTCCCAAGTAAACACACAGAGGTTTTTATTAATTACAAACTGTTTGGTCTATGGCTCAGGCTTCTTGCTAGCTAGCTCTTACATCTTAAATTAATCCATTTCTATTAATCTGTGTATTGCCATGTGACCGTGGTGTTACCGGTCTGCTGGCGTGTTGTTGCTCCTTGGGCGGCCGGTTGGCATCTCTTCCAACTCTGCCTTCCTTCTCCTGTGTCTCCCTTGGATTTCCCACCTGGCTCTTATCCTGCCTTGCCATAGACCGAAACAGCTTCTTTATTAACCAATAGTGGCAACATATGTTCACAGCGTACAGAAGACCATCTCACAGCAGTACATATTTTTTTTAATTGATGGGAAAGAGTACATGACAAAATTTCCCATTTTGACCATTCACCTGTACAGTCAGTGATGGGACATTGACACAACCCTCACTGTTATCTATCTCCACATCCTTGTCATCCTCCCAAACAGAAACTGTTACCCACAGAACAATGACTTCTTAGTTCCCCTGTGAGAATATTGTTTTTGAAGTGACTGTAGAATTAAAACTAGTTAGGTCCTTGTTAGAGATACGAGCTGCCTGGGAATTAAGTAGTGTACATAAATGAGTGTACACGGGTTTCTGCATGGAAAGCAGCTGCCGAAAGTAGCCAGGCCATGCTGAAAGAGAACTTACAAGTAACAAAAAAATAACCACAGTGAGCAATGGTTTACTCACGTGACATCTCCTAAACATAGAGACACTGACTTCTGCCAGAGGTGATGGCTCATGCCTGTAATCTCCATGATTAAGAGGCAGAAGCTGGGAGACAGTGAGTTTGAGGCTGGACTGACTGACACAGACTCTGTCAAAAACAATTACTTGATTTCCTTAATAGGGAATCATTTATGCAAATGTGACCATCAACACCAAAGGCTGGTATATAGCTAAAAAATTAGTAACTACAGAGTGGTCCAGAAGATCAACTCATATACTGAAAGTCCACACACATGTAATGTATATAATCTGAGTCAGATGTGTGATCACCATCACCACTATCAGGTAATAAACCTAATCTGCCCAAGGCTTCCAAAAGTCTCTTTGCATCATTTTTTTTCCTTTGGTGCTGGAGGTGGCATTGGGCCTGGTACATGCTGGGCAAGTACTCCGTCGGTAAGCTGTGTCTTCAACCTGCTTGTGTTTTTATTTTTCAGGGTAAGAATACTTCACAGGAGTTCTGCCCTCTTAACTTCTTGAGATCACAGCATCATGTTAACCACAGGCCAGTTCTTTGTTACCTATGAGGACAGAGAGAAGAAATGCCACAGGGAATAGAGCTGTAAACACACATGGCCAGTGTGACTTTTGTTTTAGCCAGTTAGTTACTTTTTTAAATTAATTTATTAATTTTACATTAAGACCACAGCCTCCTCTCCTCCTACTCCCTCCCCCTCCTCCTCTCTGCACTCCCACCCAATCCATCCCTCCTCCATAATTGCTCAGAAAGCAACAGGCCTCCCATGGGCATCAGCAAAGCATGGCTTATCAAGCTGCCATAAGACCAAGTACCTTCCCCTGTATTCAGGCTGGGCAAGGCAGTCCAGCATGAGGATCAGGTTCCCTAGAGCCAGTCAAAGCACCAGGGATAGTCCCTGCTCCCCTTGCTGGGAGTTCCACATATACACTAAGCTACACAGCTGTCACATATATACAGAGGGCCTAGATTCGACCCGTGCAGGCTCCCTAGTTGTTGGTTCAGACTTTGAGTTCCCATGAGCCAGGCTAATGGTTTCTATGGGTTTTCCTGTGATGTTCCTGACCGCCCTGTTTCCTACAATGCCTCCTCCCTCTCCTTAGCAGGACTCCCCAACTCAGCCCAATGTTTGGCTGTGGGTCTCTGAATCTGCCCCCATCAGTCACTAGATGAAGGTTCTCTGCTGACAAGCTGGGTAGTCACCAATCTGATCACGGGATGGTCAGTTCAGGCTATGCGTCCATTGCTGCTGCGAGTCTTAGCTGGGGCCATCCTTGTAGACTTGTGGAAGTTGCATCAGGCTTCACAAAGAAATGACCTTTTACTAAAGAAATGACCTTTCCAGTCATTCCTTTCAGCACTGTTCCCCGTTCACCCTGCAACCCATTCCCTCAAGTTCCCATGCCTACCTGCCTCCAGTGCACCCAGGAGATCTGCTCTATTTCCCCTTCCCAGGGAGATCAATGCATCCTGCCTCGGGCCCCCCTTGTTACTGTACCCTCTCTGGGTCTGTGGATTGTAGCATGGTTATCCTTCACTTTACAGTTAATATCCACTTATGAGTGAGTACACGCCATGTTTGTCTTTCTACGTCTGGGTTAGCTCACTCAGGGTGATTTTTTTTTCTAGTTCCTTCTATTTGCCTTCAAATTTCCTGATGTCATTGTTTTTAATGGCTGAGTAATACTCCAGTGTATAAATGTACCACATTTTCTTTATCCATTCTGTTGAAGGGCATCTAGGTTCTTTCCAGGTTCTGGCTATTACAAATAAAACTGCTGTGAACATAGTTGAGCAAGTGTCCTTGTGGTACAGTTGAGCTTCCTTTGGGTATATTTTATAGTTTGATTTTGGAGCTAACCTTCCATATCTGTGATTTCTTCATCCACAAATTGAGCCAAAAAATGAGAAAAAAAAATGCTTTCATTATTAAAATGTGTATACTTATCTAATAAATATCTCATGCATGTGATAGTTAACTTTGATTGCCAACTTGATTGGATTGAGAGACCCCTAGGGGAGTAGTGAGGTACAGGAACTGAAAGGGAGACCATGTGAAGGTGGACGACACTGTCCGTCTGCAGGGCGCAGATGGAACAAATATGGAAAAGAGGAAGAATCCCACCAGCGCAGACAAGCCTGCATGCTGCTCCTGGCGTGAGGTGAGTAGCTCCTCCAAGCTCTCCCACCACGATGATCTACTCACGTCAGGTCCACAGACCATGGAGCCTCCAAACTGTGACTGACAAACTCTGAAAGTGTGAGCCATCAAGGAGTTTTTCTCAGTTATTTCTTACTACAGTTTAGCTACCACGAAAAGACAGTAATGAGAAGGACTGATCACCACGGCAAAGCCGATCACATCGTTCAGATGCCGTTGGGACTGGTTCACAGGAAGAATCTAGAAAAGCCAACCAGACAGAGCTTGCTCTAAGCAGAGCTTAGTGGGCTATTCTAAGCAAGCTCAGAAGAGCAGGATGCTCAGGGGACCATTATGGTAAAGACCGCCCCCATGAATTGGGACAGGAACAAGGTCTCTCAGGAACTGAGCTACAGGCCGTTCCAATTGCATCCCTGCTAAGAACTTGTCTCCATTTCCTCCATTCCCTGAGACACTGAGTTTAAAGGTGAGAGAATAACCTAGCAGTCTATTTAATAACCAGGAAGTTTCAAGGCAATCCAATATTTCAGTGGTAGCATAGGTATTGCAAGCTGCTTTTAGCCAGGCTTAAAGTGAGAAGCAGAAATGGAAGACCTGGAAGAAAATGCAGTTTTGTCAGGAACAGGAGTTTGTTTAAAGTTGTGGATCTGGAGGGTGTG